ATATTGCACTTCAAAGAATACGAGGGCTATCCAGGAACATTTCTTTGAATTAAGATATTTTATTTCTGCTTTTCTGGTTTCTACCATCTTACATTTAAGAATGGCATCTGGTTTTCTTCTTACTGAGAACCATACACCAAGCATAGTAACCAGGAAAGGGTGGGGAGGTGTTTTCCTTTGGGTTAGTGAAAAATACTGCCTGAGGAATGGAAACACTGCTTTGAGTGTGATATAGCCTCTATTTTTATTACTCTTCTTTGTAAAATATAATAAAAACATTGTGGGAAGTATATAGTCAATTATCTGCAGTGGAAGCAAACACAACATCCATCGGCAGTGGTCTGGAAAGGGAAACCAACATTCAGGCCTCTCTTATCTTTTGGTGTGGGGAGGACTGTGGCTCAAAAAGGGCAGGATTTGAAAACAAAATACGGTCATGTGAAATGCCTAACAACTATCCACCTGCAGAACACCTTGAAGAATGTGCCTGAAAACAGTACAAATGCAGCTGCTGTGCGGGAGACGCACTCAGCAACAGAAGGCAAGATGGCTTGGGTCTGAAAATGTGCTATCCATAAAGCACAATGGGTGAAAACTCTCTCAAGTTAATGGCAGCATTACCATCAGCCATAGCGGAGTGCAGGTTTCCTCTAATATGCTCTGAATTAAGTCTTGGCTCCCTATTATAGCATCCAAGTAAAACCAGTGGTATGCAAACATCAGGGCAAGGCATACCCGAAATTGCAGCAGTGCTGATGTAGGTAGGCTCGTGCTGGGCATTCACTGCAGCAGCCCAGCATTCAGGTAGCACAGGTACTTTCATGTCATACTTTACTCTTCTCCTAGGAGATGCACTGGGATATATTCAGACAGAGCCAAGACTCATAGGTGTCACCCCACCACACGCATGTCTTACATTAAAATAATACATTGCGGAAGCGCATGGTAGGATTGTGGTGCCCATTTCTGCTCTTTCCATTCCTCCAGCCAATCCCTGCAGCAGAACTGGAGTGGGGAAAGGCAGGAAATGGCAGGGAACACTCCTCTGTGGTTACGTAATGAGTCTTTACTGTGGAAACCCACTTCAGGGTAAGAGTTAATAGTGTACCAAGTACTCTTACCCTGTAAACTTCATCTGGTGCTTCTACAAGCCAACGGATACGAGCATGTAGATAATGAGCGTGAACAGATCAAACAGTGACAAGACTTCAAGAAGAAACAGGCTTTCAAACCTGCTTATTTGGCAAGGAAAAGTTAAAGAAAACTTCTGTTAAAAGCTTTAGCTTGAATCTTTTCAGATTCAGGTTACCACAAGCAATGGATAGAAACTATTCACAATTCAGGCCCATCTCTCCATGCACACCCAGAAGATTCAGATTCTTACTTGTTGGAACTGCTCTGTGTGGAGTCTGTCTGCTGTCAGTTTGGACAATTTGATATCACTGTGCAAAAAAATTGGTGGCTGCATAGGAAACTTCCTTTTCTGAGTAACAAATACTTGTTCAGTGTCTGAACATAACAACACTGATGAAAAATATTCAAAGCAAGTTGAACACTCTAGAAATGTTATTTCTTTGACATGTCACCATCTGTTAAAACTGCATGTCATCTGGGCGTGTTAGTGTTCTGAATGAACAGGCAAATGAGAAATAGTGTGGAAAATGAGGCAGAACATGAATTTTTAATGCAGTTTTGAATATACTAAATTGTTGTATCGGCACAACTGTGCTAAAAACAAGGAGAAATAGTGTATATGTGGTCATATTAACAAAGAGCTCAAGTAACAAGTCGGCAGATGAAGTGAAAAGACAAAGATTACTTACTCCACAAAGATTACTTACTCCCTTACAATAATTGCAGTTATTGAGATTAAAACTTGGACTTCAGAGTAAACATAAACAATAATGCTGTGACAGTTTGACAGCATATTCAGAAGACTGAAACAATGGTAATTTAATTTCTGAAGTGGATATATAAATCTCTATAAGTCTTCAGCCCTTACAAGCAATCTGCTGTACAGACTAATTAGATCTATTATCTTCACAGGAAAAAATACCCACAGAATCTGTGAGCTTACTTCTCATGATAACTTGAGCTCCCCATCTTGAGCTGCCCACAATATAGACTTGTTAACATTGATGCCATTCCTATGATTTTCTCCCGTTGCCCTCTGTTCAAGCAGAAATGAGGCTTCTCAGTGTGTGATTGCACCATTCCAAAAAAGACTTCTCTCTTATTAAAAACAGAAGTTCTCATTCTCTCCAGACGCCTGATATTTATGATCAAGCATTTTCATGCCTACTTCTTTTGCCCTAATTCTGGTCATTTGCAACAATGCTGGTGTTAAGTGACTACGAAACCCTAGTATTCCAAAGCAATCATATTTTCAGGCTCTGTGCCCTACGTCACATGGAATCATTTACTGCAGTACAATGGGAAATAAGGCCTCTATGGATAGCAGTATTTCTGTGGGGATAAATGTTGCTTGTTGCTGAATAGAATCACAGCATACCCAGCTGTTTATTGGGTGTAAACTCTGCCTTGGGAATCCATGGATTTTGGAATAAACAGAAGGGAGAGTGAACGACCAAAGTAAGAGCACAGAGCAGATATGCAAGGCATCGAGCTCTCCTGCAAGCACCTGGTCATATAGAACTTCCCAGATCTGGCTGATAAGAGGCAGCAAAACTTGTCTTGGCAGCCGGGATGAGTTGGGCTATGAAAAATCAGCATGGCAAGATACTCACTCCTCCCCATACCTTCCAGCCCCAGCTGTCTTGTGCAACGCCTGCCCCAACCTTTTCAAGCATGGCAAGATACTCACTCCTCCCCATACCTTCCAGCCCCAGCTGTCTTGTGCAACGCCTGCCCCAACCTTTTCACACAAATGATAGTCTCCATGGTAGTTCAGTTGAAACATGGAAGGACTGTCGGCTAGTTAGATCCCTGTAGCTTGTTGAAGTGTCTTTGAGTTTCAAAGCTTACCTTGGAGTCACTTTGCTTTTACTGGAGATGTGGAGGGAAAAAAAAAAAAGGCTTAAGTCCCTTAATTTTCCAAATGTAGAAAAAAGTGTTTAGATACACACTTTAATATATTTTCTGTGGCATTTTTGTAAAATACAGATATATAATTATAGATATAAGGCATATATAGCATTTACTATGTTAATAAAAAGCTAGACTTTTCACAATGGCACACCAGTAAGTATTTACAGTATGATTCAAATTTTAAGGAACAAATGTTTCAAAACATATTGTGCGGTTATATGAAAGGAATAATTTCAGGAAGAATATGAGAACAGTTCTAAACAGTTCCCAGGTGACAAAGTACATACTCTTGCTGGGGCCACCTCCGTGCACATCCATACACAGTCGACTTTTCCTCCTCGTAGGAACTTGCGTATCTTAGCTCTTCCACATTTCTACACAGTCACTGCCTTTAAGATGGCATGGATAATTATATTGCTTATTCCTTTTCACGTACAGATTAATTGTACTAATTCCTCTCATTTAGCATTATGTCCAACTGCAACATTTCAAAGTTTTGGCTGAAGCAGAAATTACTATGCACAACTCTTGTTGACTGAAACCAATAGAGCTATGACAACTCACATCATTGAAAATTTGCCCATCTTCTACACACCTTTTCACAAATTATTACTGGGAGTTTTTTGAACAACGTTTTTAGCATTGTAGGTCTGCATCAAAGGACACTGCAATGCCAGAAACTAGCAACAGACCCAAAGTACATGAATGCTCTTTGTTATCCCCACACATGGGCACTACCCAGCCATTCATCCAGAATGTACTGCCCACTGTACATCAGCTGTAAAGATCATCTTCACCTTTCATGTACAGTCAGCATTTCCTAATGAGGCAGAAAAGTGCTATTAACACATTTTACAGAAGAAAAAAAAAGCTGAGTGAACTGCAAAAGGTCACTTGGGAAGCTTGTGACAACAAAGAAGTAAACTCATCTCCTCCTTGGCAGGCTCTCCCTCTTATCTTTCCAGCTTTAGTGAGAACTTTCTAAGTGTCTTCTTTAACATAAACAAAATATAAGTAATAGAAGTAGAGCTTTCCCCAGGCACCAGCTTAAAGTTAGTTGTGGTCTTTCTTCTTTCCCTAAGCACTAAGAAAAGATAGAGAGAGAGCTGCTTCTGTATGCGCTATCTCTAATCTACTGAAGAAACATTAAGCCCACTGTTTGCCAGGAAAGACATTAGAACTCTTGCAAAACGTAACAATTCAGTTTCACTGAAAAATGTAAAAACTTCAGGCCTTTTTCTCCTTCAATGCTGAACAGGGAAGCCTTTCCAGTTACATTTGTACTCACTTTATAACACCTTCATATCACCTGCATAGTACAGAGGAGGCTTAGGGCAATGTTGAAGATGACTCATTCTCTCAAGCATTAAAATCGCTTCCATACCCTCAGTGCTTCAGCTCCAACAAGCACGCAGCCGGAAGGCAGCTCTCGCAGCCGTCCATACCACAGAGGTGCAGGCACAGATGAGGGCAGAAGCATCCCCAGGACCAGTATCTCCCCATGTGATCATCACTCTGGAGAAGCTTGATCAGGAGCAGATTTTGATCTGCACTCCGTTCTTGTGAACACCAGTTAAACCAGAGATGGGAATTCCACAGCAAAGACTGTTTGAGAAACAGAGCAGCGGTAGCCCCCGTGACAGAAAGGAACAACAACGGAAGACAGAGGGCTCCCTGGAGGGAGGGAAATAGGTGGTAGGTGTTACACAGTACCTTTCAAAGTAAACTATTAAAGGAATTTTGCCTATTGTAATCCCGGTGCCAACTTGGCCACATTACAGGGAGGCAGCTAGAAGAAAGTTCTGCTTCCAGTAATACTTGTGGGCAAACTGGGTTATTCACCTAATGGCTGCAGGCAATGTACGTACAATTTATGAGATACTGAGGACTTCTTGTTCTTATTTAAAAAAAAAAAAAAAAAAAAAAAAAAAAAAAAAGAAAGGGAGATCACAACACACAAAAAAGGGTAAAATCAATAACGGAATTTCTTGTCCTGCACACTTTTTCTAAATCAAACCTGCATTTGCTTTAAAAAAGTAAAAATATAAAAACAAAGATACATTAGAATATCCTACTGTTCAGTAAATGTCTTATAGGCAATATTTACGATGGAAAAAAGATGCGTCAAGCCCTTCCTTTGACAAAAATGAAGCACCCCAAAGTTCATTCTGTACCAAGGAATGCCATTTCTTTGGCTGTTCGCTTAAATCACTCACATCACCACAATTTGAATACGCATTATTTGTCTTCAAATTCCTAATCATAAATCTAGACTAATGCAGAAAAAAAAAAATCCTAGTAAGAATGCTGTGCCGTTGATAAGCTAAAAACAGCGTATCATGAGAAGGCAAACTAATCTTTCTGTTTACTTTGTAAATAATCCATTAGCTAAACTTCTATTTTAGGCTGGATGCTTGATACTTAACACTTGAAAGTCCAAATACCCTTCATATCCCTTATAACAGAGAAGATTGTAAAATGCCTTTGGTGCATCAGCTTAACACTGCATGAATGTTTTAAAGAATCTCACTAGTACTACAGGCAATGTAAGTGGGCTTGTTTGTGTCGTTTAATACTCTAAGTGTCATTTAATTCTTTAAAGGGCTTAGAACAGAGGAGGGGGAAAGGGGAGGAAGTCTTACTTAATTTGTTGCATATGTCCCAACGTGTTACACAACTAAGTGTACCAGAAAACTAAAGCAGTCTGCACCACAGAAAACTCCGTGTAGCTCAAAAAAGGAGAATAATCTGGCTGCAAACAAATCAAAAATTCAGTGAAACTTCCTCTCATATTATATATACACACACTTTACAAGCTACATTGATTGTCCCTTCATATTCCAAAAGAAATACATTGTAGACACAAAACATACTGTACTTTTACTTAAAGGCTTCATCAAACCATATGTGCAGACACTTGAGAAGATGAGAGTGTCAAGCTTCCTAGGGTCCTAGAGTCAAAGAAATTCTGCTGCCCCCCACTGCTAAGTAAGTGCACTCCTTCCACAGGGGGCAACATCTGCCGATCCGTCATGGTTCCACTCGGTGAGGACCCCAAGAAACTTCCTTGGGAAGAAACAATTTTCTCAGGACTGGCAGCCAGTTTAGGGGATGTCGAAAAGTTATATCCGTACAGCGCACAGGGACTGTGCAGTCTAAATGTGTTGTAGGAGCCTTGGTGGGTTTGATTAGTGGTAAAGGCATTGCCGGAAGGGGATGGCATGATGTACTGGAGCTGTGGAGACATCCCTGAAATCTGCATAGATAAGCCAGTTTGCGGGCAGCTGAATGCATCCCCGTCATTGCCGCTCATTGACATATTCACAGTTGTGCTACTCGACACACCAACATAAGAGGGAGTCCTTGGGGGTGCAAACGTCTCACTGGTTTGGTTTGTGAGCCTGTTGTAGGTTTCAGCCAAGGAAGTGCTGTATCTGTTCAGGGTCAAACCTGAGCGGGCACAAGCTGTGTAGTCAGCAGGAGCAAGGCTACAGAGCTGGCTAGTGTTGGGGCTGAGATGGAAGGCTGGAGATGAGCAAGGGGAACCCGGCAAAAGGTGAGGATGGGTAGAAGGCACTCCACTGCCAGATCCCTGGAGTAAGGTAGAAGAACCTGCATTTCCTGGAAGAGAATATGACAGTGTAAGAAGCATGTTGGGAAGGCTCATTTTCTAGGTGACAGATCAAGACCATTGTCTTTTATAATAGCCCTTGATGTGAAACACTTGATACAAATTCATGCAACATATGTAAGTGCATACATGTGAAGGTGTGTGTGCATGGTTCATGCATGTTTTTAAATGAATGATCTGTCCTAGAACAGAACACCAGCTATGTTCTTGAGACCATCACTCAATACATCCAGCCTTTCAGCTCCAGACCAAAAGGCTAACTACTCTTCATCTGACCCTGCAAGAGAACTGCTTAGCAGCAACAATGCAGCCATCCAAGTACCACATCACAGTAAGCCTTCTTCAAAGTTACGAATTTTGTGTGGTCTCTGTTGTTGCTATGCTCCAGAGTGAGTTTCAACCCTTGCTATGATGAGTAAAGCATCCTTGTGTCTGCCACTGTCAGAGTATCACATAAGGATTGGATCCTTACCTCAAATGACAGAAGATCCCACAACTAAAACAACTTCATAAAATGCACTGGCTGTGTATTGTGCATTGATATTTTATTGCTGGCAGCAAACTGTTGACAAACTATTCATTTACTGGTATCAGAACTTTTTACATGACAAACACAAGCACTGAGAGCTCCTAAGAATAAACTGTTTGCTAGAGGTGAAGTATCTTCTGAGGACTGAAAGTTTCCTAGCTGCAAGAAAATCTTTGTCTTAAAAAATGTATTTCTTGGGAAAGTGAATGTAGAAAAATGGATTTGGATCTTTTACAGCCTCCCAGGACAAAGTCACATAGCAAAGAAGACATTCCTGATTGTGATTCACATTAACAATCAGACAACTTGTGATGCAGAGATACACACTGCCAGTAAATTAACAGGTTTTCATGATAGGTGAGCTAAAAAAGGAAAAGTAAGTTTAAAGTGAAGTCTGCCTCCTGCTTTTCTACTGACAAAAAAAAAAAAAAAAACCAACCATGCACAAAACATTATGAGATAGCTCCACACCCCAGAAATCCTACAATCTCAGGGTGGATATTAGGAAAAATTTCTTCTCAGAAAGAGCAGTAATGCATTGAAACAGGCTGTCTAGGGAAATGGTGGAGTCCTTGTCCCTGGAGGATTCAAGAAACATGGAGATGTGACACTGAGGGACATGGTTAGTGAGCATGGTGGTTATGGGTTGACAGCTTATCGTGGTGGTATTTTCCAAATTTAATGATTCTACATCAACAACCCCACTGTCTGAAGATGTCCACATTAAAACTGGGACAGAGTTCTAGTGGGGTCTTTCACCAAGTCTTTTGGCCTAAGCTCTAAATCACTCTACTGTCCAAGGCACATTAATGATTTTGCAAGGATTGTAGTTTTCTTTCTCTCATCAGTAGAGAATACTTCAATAAGATCCTTGACCTCAGGCTACAGCAGAAGGGAAAGCTTATGGCTGCAGTTTGCCCACTCTCCAAAAGTGTACAAACGGGTGGCAACAGAGCCAATCTGCCCCTGGACAGGAGAAACAGGAGAACTTCACCGTGAGTTACTCATCAGTCTTACACAATTGGACAAGGTCTGATATTATTGTCTCCTAGGCATTTTTAAAAGCACTCTTTAAAAGCATCCTTTAAAAGCACCCTCACCCCCACCCTCTGCCTAAAAATTTGCCCATATTCATCCCAACTATCTGTGACTTTGCACAAAAAGTTATTTTTAACTGCTCATATCAAGCACTTATGCTGAAGATTCATCAAAGGAGAGGACTAAGGAGAAACTGAGAAAAGTGATTTCTGTGTGTTTCTGTATTTTCTTTTTTTTTTTTTTTTTCCTTTTCTTTTGTTATTTCTTTTTCCTCAGATGATGTTCTGGCATATACTATCAAGAAAGTAGGCAGGACGTTTGTAAATTTGATAGTAGGAAAAGTAACAAACCAAGAGCAAATCTGATTTAGGTGAGAAAAAAACTGAAAGGTTAATATATGCATAAGTATGCCCTGGAAATAAAGGAATTCAGAAAAGAATACAGAGATACTTCTCTGTGTCTGAACAGGCCATTTAAAAGCCCATCTCTCCTCCAACAGCACTATCTCTATGATAGGACAGCTAAAGCCAAGAAACTATCGACGAGAGCGCAGGAGAAAGCTCTCCTTGAAAAAAAATTTTCAAGCTCTAGGATGTGAAAAAAGTTTGTAGGACTTTCACTAAACAATTGGTCTTTAAGAATCAAGGCTTTCCAAAGAACGCAATTAAACTTAGAAGTATTTATTCAGTAGATTCAGATAACACCTATTCTTTCATTCCTTTTTTTTTTTTTTTTAATCTTAAACACACAAGTAATTCCCACATTTGAGTTTGGATGTTTACAATTGAAGTCACTCATAAATAAACTCTGCCTTGTGTACATAGCTAGAGCATAATCCCAGATAAGAGTTTATTCTGCCCTTAAGTAACTCATCCTCCTCCATGTGTGATCTGATTTATCTTTATAACACTTTTACTGTCACAGTGCTTAAGTTAGCGCTTTTTTTGTAACTTCAATTAATTCCAATGAGAGGAAATGGCTGCCAGTGGGGTTAGTTGGCCACTTTTTATGTAGGTGGCACACTCATCTTGATTTTAGTAAGGAATGATGGACAAAAAGAATTTCATATTTATCTTTTGTTTTGGAAAAAAACACAAAGACTATTACCTTGTTTAGGTATCCCAGGTATATCTTCAAATGTAAGTGTCCGAAGTGAAGGTCTCCAGAAGGCGTAAGACTCCACCAAAGCTTCCAGTCCCATTCTATTGTGAACAAAAAACGTCATGGCATCATGATAGAAAGCTGTATTTTGTCACATTCCTCTTTATACTTTATTTCAAAAACACAGAAAAATAATCAGCATTTCAGAATAAGTTCATTATTTTCCAATTCATTTTGCTTTTTAGAAGTCTTACATGCTAACCCACAAGACTGTTGTGATTGCAATCATTGGACTAATAGCCTGCAAAGAGTTTCCCACTTCCACAAGTCCACTCCTCTACTTTTTTTTTTTTTTTTTTGAGTGGATCTGGCTGCAATGATATTAAAGGTTTTCCTACCGTGACATTTCCTTAAAAACAGCTGCTTTAATTGCCAGAAAAGCAATCTCCTATTTCTGACTAGAGCAAAGGTGATCAACTGACAATTACTGAAACTGGACTTCCAGTCTTTTCTGATGAGTTGGACAATCACACACACATTGTGAGCAATGCATGGGCGTACAGCTCTTTTGCAACTAGAATACATAAAGCAATGTTGTCTCTCAGTCATAAGGCACTGAGCAAAATGCCTTCAGAAACTAAAGATCTTGAATAATTCTCCTTCAATGGTGTCACAACAAAACAAAAATAACTACCTACAAAGTCACAGCAGATCGTATTTAGAAGAATCTCTATGTCCAGAAAGTAAAGGCTCATATGCTTTCTCACAGAATTTTGTACATAATGCAGCTACAAGTTATAGTTTTGCAATTATTTTTGGCATTTGAGCCCCAAAGGCCTGTTAAGTGTCAGCACCAGGTACATACCAACGATGAATGCCTGCCTTAGAGCAGCAAAATTTTGTAAACTAGAATTATGCAAACAGCTCAATTTGAAGCTACCAACAAGTTCTTCTGATACTGCCTCTTCCACATTGCATTTCCAGCAGGATCACAAATGTATTCCAGGAAATGGTTATAAAGCATTTATTAGCTTAACCTCAACTAAAAAGATAGCCTTCATTTTCTGCAGTAATGGTGAATTTTCAATTCTAGTTAAAGTGGAGATAAAAGCCACCTCCTGGAGGAGTGTAGCCAAGGTGATAATTTATACAAGATGCTTTCGAACAATTTCCACATTTTATCACCGCTCTAATTTGCGCTATCAAATAGCCAAGTTTATTTAACAAAACAGTTATGTTTTTCCTGAAGCATTTAAAGAGAGAAATTCTGGACCTTTCCTGAGTAAAAGTTTTTATAGGGTCAAATGCAAGGCCTAACTGAAGAATGAAGCAATTCTCAGCACATAAATTCTGTTGCACTTTGCAAATGTACAGGGAACACTTTTAAAAGGTGAAGCTACTGATTTCTATAAAAATACCTGTAGAACTTAAAGAGAATGACCTGAAAGGGAATAGTTTTAATTAAGACAGTCACAGTAAGTAAAGCAACTTTGAAAATTTAAATACTAGTGTGCAGCCCTTCCTACTTTTCTTGCAAACTAAAATGCGTAGATGAGAAGTAGAACAGCTAGATCTACAAAGATAGAAATCTTAATATTTACGTAAGTCACTCCAAAAGTAATGCCTCCTATTTATTTCCATGAAAATTACAACGATGAACACAATAAAACTATCTGTCAGAGACAATTCTCAGCTACAAAACATCATTTTTAACATAGTCACCACCATTATCTATGTATTTTTGCCAGAGATGAATAGGAGCCATCATGCTGCGCTCACACAAATCTGCACCAGTGAAGATAACTAACTGATTCACAGCTACTATGATGGCAGTCCATCTTTCTTCTGCTCAAACAGATGGAAGCTGGAAAGTGCCAAATCTGGTCTATATATGGTGGGTATTGTAGGACAGTTCAGCCAAGACTGGCAATTTGCTATATGATCTTGAGATTGTAATAGGGCCTGGTATTATTGTGTTCCAAGAGAAAGGTTGTCTTCTTCTTTGGCCTTACACTGGAAGTTGGAGCCTTCAGCAGAGTCACTGTTACGATACAGTAGTCAGAGCTGACTGTTTACCAGGGTTCCAAGAAATCCAGAAGGATCACTTCTTTCCTATTGCAAGAAAAACAGTGTATATCACTTCACCCACTGAGGGCAGCATCTTGAACATCTTCCTTATGCCACCACTCCATAGACTTTCATTTTGACTCTGGCTCATAGTGGTAGCAGCACATCCTTCAGCCTCACCAGGGACCACCCTGGCACAATCTTTGTGATATTCCATCACTGCCACCATTGTTTCCAGAGCACTGAAAGTGATATTCAGTTCCATACACATCAATCTGGTCATAATCCACTAATTTGTGTGGATGAGCTGATCGAAATGCTCTCCATTTTGTGGCATGACAGCCACCCAAAGGGTTTCTTGACTTTCATGGTGCTGTCATCACTGCTGAAATGCACCACCTCACTGTGCTTACACACACTGGCCTCCATAAACATTCAGCAGGCACCAATGAATGTAAATGGGTGTTATGTTTTCTACATGGAGGAATTCAACTCCATACCCTTGCTTTATCCATAATTCCATGTCAGATGCCATTTTGTCAGACTGCCTCTTTGCTGCCATGTATCGCAGAGCAACAAAATGCAATGGAATATTGCTGGGAAGGTTCAGCCTCTAATGCCATACCATCACCATTGGCTCTGACATCATGGGTCAACATAATAAAATAGGAGGCATTACTTTTGTGGCAGACCTCGTAATTTTTGTGTTTGGTAACAGAGTAAACTATTAATCAGTTGAGTAAACTAGTGCTGTCCTCAAAAATTTGAAAATAAGCTGCATGCACAAGCATAGTTATTCAGTGCTATGAAGCCTATCAGTGAAACCAGCAATACTGATTTCAGCAAAAATAATGCCTCTTTGCAACAGAATATGCAGAGATACTTCCGAAATGAGTGCATTTATTACAGTAAAAGCTTTCAGAACTTATCTAAAGCCAATTCCAAAACACACTTCTACAACACAGGCTTCATAGTTTACAGAAATGGACTAGAACTGTTTTTCCATTCAAAAACACATTTCTTTTTAATGCCTGAACCCAAACGGTTCCTAGAAGCTAAACCAAAAAACATCTCTGGACAGCCTCAGTACAATAACTAGATTTGCACGGTTGCACATGCAGAGCAATTTTTCAAGTACACAAACCAAATTTTGCTTCTTTATTCACTGTACTTATCTGGAAGTTACTGTTAATTTAAATACAAAGTACAAAGTAACAAAAGAGGGTGAATGTCTGTTTATGCCAGGGGCTGGAACATTCTTTCCAGGCGTCAGGACAGGGTATGGCCAATTGTTTCTTGATAGAAGACAAAAATCTTAGAAAGCAGCAAATATGGACAGCAAACTGAGAAGATACTTGCAGTGGACTCCTGTAAATTTTTATAACCCTATCCCTTCTGAAAATGTTAATCTTCTAGAAAATAATCTTGTTTGCTGTCCAGTCTCAGTATTCAGTTAATTCAGGTGGAAGAACAAAATGGTCTTTAAAGCTGCAGCCTCTGCTGAAAGAAAAGCTCAGTAAAGCAGCCAACAAAAGATACTCACTGAACATTCTTACCAGAGCACAGTCTGCTCTCTTTTCTGGAAGGCTAGATCATAAATATAGCAGCTGTAGACAGCAAATGCAAAGTGGTCACTGGAACTGATGTATACTATGCACCGCAATTAAATGCTGCTTTTTTTAGCTGAAATGCTTGAACACGCAATTCGTAACAGGCTTAAGTATTTTGCATTGAACAATCTTTGCATAAAATACCTCATCAGTTCTGGCAGCAGAGACTAAGTCTCCAACTACTCGGATTCTCTATTGCTATTTTGAAAAAATAGAGGATCAAGTAAGAGCAAACAATTAATCAGTCCAACTGCAACAGAAAAGGTGGAAACCAGGTCTGCTTCAAGGTCGTCTAGTAAGACTAGCCTAGTAAGAAAAGCATTCACCTGGGCAGTGGATTTAAAACTCTTCAAGCAATAGAAATACTTTGACACAAGTCTCCAGCCTCCTAAGCATGCATAATAAACATCAGGTTATTGCAGGAGGGAAACAAGATTCTCCCTCTTCAAGAGAAAAGGAACCACTCTATCCTACCACCACTCACATGCAGGAGATGGATATTCATATCTTCATTTTGTGTCTCTAGACAGGAGGGAGACTTCAGGAGCAGCCTCTTCTGCTGGCCAGCCACACTCTCTCCCTACCCTTGTCTGCTGGCTTTGGAGAATTCCCATGCCCAGGTCAGTATCATTACCTACACATTCACTGCCACTCCCAAAGATTACACCTTCCAGCACCACAGTGACACAGTTCCCTTGGCTGTACATACTTTCCTACTCCTGTCCTGCAGCACACTCTGGTCTTAACCTCAAAAATCATAGACTTCAGTCTGCATTAATTCAATTTTCACAGTATGCTGCAGTTTCCAATGAAAGGATACCTGAGTACATGTGTCAAGCCACATGCCAATCAGCTCATGATCTAGAGGGTCAGAGGACGAGGAACAGAAAGCCACCACTGAGAACATTAATGGGAAGCCTAAGCTTCCTCAGGGAGCCCAAGTCCTCAGACTCATTTGTCTGTAAATACAAGTATTCCCCTCGGTAGGAAGGACATCTACTGCCAGCCTTCACAAATTGGTTCTGTCAGCAACAACAAGCACCTACCTGTTACGTCCTGAATCTCTAAACCCTTTGGCAAATGGATTCCTGTCAATCTTCAGACGAGTTATCTGTGAAGATGATGAAAGAAATTAACATCTGCAAATTCAGGTAAGTAATACAAAAAATGACTCTTCTGACAGTGAAGTATCCTAGCTCCTGACACTTAAAGCAGAAACATCTTACCATTTGCATGGTTCAAGGCAGCAAAATAAGGCCAAGTCTTCTGGCCGTTATTTTTGCAAATCCCCAGAGAAGCTAATAGGTATTTAATGTTACTAAATGGCAGGTTGGAATTCTCAAGGAAAATCTTCTGGCAAATGTCATTCTTCACCTAAGAGAGTACATTGCCTAATTGCAATAAAATTTAAATTAAATTTTATTTCTGTGTGGGTTAAGAAGGAAATGTGAAAAGAGAGATTATCACTAGGCTGTTGTGTTCTATTAAAAAAATAAAACGGGGGGAAAAAAAAGATGCTTGTAATTTACTTAAATGAACAGCGTAAACACCAAATAATTAAGTTTCATTATTTATTTCAGTCTATTTACACGGTTATCCCTTTGCAAAGATGACAAGGCATATATAATTTCCCAAAATATACTGTAATTTCTTATATGGAGTTAACAAATATCACAGCACTAAACATAGTGTCACTCTGTATATTAATACTTAAACAAGTAGTAATAAGAGCCAAACGCTGCAGTCAGGCCAGCTGCAATTTAGTTTTGACTTTGAGCATGTATGGACCCAGATAAATAATACGTTAATAATACGTACGCTGAATCCAGTCAATGATAATTACTGCAGCATTTTTCAGACCTCAGCTCCCCCCTTAAGATTGTGGGGCACCCTATTCAGACAGACTTTTGACATAACTGGAGTGAGGCTCAAAATGCTTGAACATCTGATCACTTATCTACATTCAGAAGTACCTTTAAAATTCAGACTCCTCCTCGCCTTCTGTTTCAGTGCCACATTTATAATTAAGACCCTATTAACTTTAATGCTGTCAACTTAAAACTGCGAGATCACCATTAAAAAAATTACTTCTTATACGCATCATCTAGCCCATATGGACTGAAGTCTCAGCTATTGCCTCTGGGCGCTGCTGCAATACTACAAGTGAAAGTTGCTTGTAATATAACAAGGGGTTTAGACAATGCTTCTTGGTGATATAAGCAACATATCTTCTTTCTTCCTGTCTCGCACTTCTCTGGTCTACTCTGAGAAGCCTGTCAAGTGCTAAGCAGAAAGTCCAAGTTACCTGTTGATTTTGGTATGCTGTGACAGTGGTGAAAACTGTCTCTGGAAAGGAGAATGCTTTGACTCCTTCTCCCGAAGGGATAGGCTTGATCGGGGACAGATCATCTCCACAGTCTTTTCGGATGACGTGGACACGAGGCTGGTATTTATGCATAGAGTGAAGGATAATCTATGCAGTCAAAATGAAAGGAAAAGATAACATTTATTAGAAAGGACACCCTGCTGCTCCAGGACTAATGGTTTTTTGGAACAGATTAGGGCATGTGTTTACCATGCCACTTACTGGAAATCAAATGTTTTCTTTAACCTCTGAAGGTTCTTATTACAGTAGTCTACTCTCCGTGCATTTATGTTATTGCCAACTCCAAGCATTTAAAAAAATATGACTTGGGAACTGCAAAATCAGGAAACTGGCTTAAAAAAAGTGGGGGGGAGTGAAGTCCTGGTCCCACTGGAATTAGGAGAGTTTCATTGCTTTTTTTTTCCCCCCACTTGAGCCTGGATTTGATCTAACACGATTAACAACAGCAGCATTTGCCGTTTGTTTTCAGAGCCCTCAGGTCATGCTTAGAGCATTTTTCTTCCTGATATGCAGGAGGCTGAAAATGTGTCCTGCTTTGAATATATTCTAAGAGTCTCATACTCTGAACCAAATAACACCAAAGTAAAAGAACACCAAAACCCAGAACTCTAAAGAGTTAGTAACCCTAAGTTTGTAATACTTACACATACAATGAACATCAATACCCAAATCCCTCCCAGCATACAAAAGCTCAAGTAAGAATAAAGGATAAACAAGAACTACACAAACTCATAGTGAGTAAAGTTAAGCAAAAATAGTTGTTGGTATTGTTCCCAAATTTTAGAGGAAATTTAACATACATTTTTTTTTTCCTCTTTTTTTTCTATTCCACTTCCAGCTGAAAACACCAAAAAGAAGATTTCAAGAAGAAAAAAAAAAAAAAGAACTGAAGCTCAGCTATTATTTTTGGAAGGTCAAATAAATTAATAACTTGATAAATAAGTAGCCCTAATCAAAATTCAGGGGAAGTTTTTTCATTTCCTGCTCCATGAGTAGCCTCAGAATACGTACGTGCTCAAGGACTTGACAGAGCCTTTATGCCTGAATGCCAGATACCATGGAAGCTCATTCATCCAAATGACATAGAGGACATTGCATTCATTTGGCTAACCTAGAGTTTGGCTAGTTTAATACACTTGGTCCTGGCCAAAAGACATGACCCCATTTTAGATACGCCAAGTTTCTGGATAATCATGTTTTTTATTAGCCTGCATGTAAGGCTTTGACGATGACATCACAGGCTTCAATTAATTTGCTCAGGGAGTGCCCTGTGGATGTTCTCATAAGAGGCCTTTCCCTAGTTTCTGAAATCTTGCATAAGCAAATGTGCATTCTTTTTACAACTATGCTTTCAGTTCTCTGCTAGCAAAGATCAACAAAATGAAAACGTAGCGAGAGTAACACATTCTTGATCCCGTTTTCCTATGAATACCCAGTGATACCAAGGAAGGTACTGGTGCAACAGAAAAGACTCCATCAAGTAAACCCCTTTCCACCACTTGAGTTCATTACTATTTTGTGTCTTGCCATCTTCCCGTGCAGAACCGAGCATGCACACTTGCCTCTATGCAGTGAAAATCCATGCAGCTGCGATCAACTCGGTTCATGTATCAGAACAGGCAAAGTTGCAGCAGCAGGGAGATGAACACCACATGGAGAGCAGTAACACTATGCAGACAGGGTAAGGAAGGAAAGTGGGTGCAGTACCCACTCCGAAAGCCTGGTGCAGAACTGAGCCCAGGCAGGGCACAGAGCAGAGCAGTGCCTGCACCCTTGCCATGAGGCTCCCTCCTTCCAGCCTTCCCCACAGCTGCCCCACCACAACCGAGGGACGCTAAGCATGGCTTCCTCCCTCCCAGGACAAGCACAGGGAAAGGCTTTGTCTCAGGTTCTTTTCTGAGCTGCTCCAGAGGCAGCACAGCAACATTTTACCCCTTACTGATGGATTGGCAGCTTCCCTAAGCATGCAGCAACAGCAAGGGGGCTGTTTTTTATCATGCCCTAATACTTACCAAGCAAAATTCCGGTTTATCAAACACAAGTTTCACTCCCATACTTCTATAAAGCAGCCATTCTTTCCCACATATATCAAGGCTTCACACTCAAGCCCTTCACCTTTCCTCAGTATGTGTGGGCAAACAGCACAGTGAGAGCCAACAGGGATACTGCCCACCGGCACCATGCCATCACTTCCCAGGGCAGTAAACCTCTCTGTTTTGACAGTGCAAGTCCTCAGAGTTGTGGCACTTGGACCACGGCAGTTGCCCTGCCATTACTATCGGCTTGAGCTCAAGGAGGAGGCAGGAGCCCTGCAGAGTGAAGGCCACAACAACATGGAAGCAGCATGGAGTAACGAACACAGCACTCATGGACACACAAAACTTAATCTGTCTAGAGTAACCTTACAATAGGTGTATGGAAAGGAGCTATCACGATGAGGCCTCAGTGCTGGCTCTCACCCTAGGTACTGCCATGAGACAGACGTCACAGTTCTCCTACGGCATGGTGGCATTGTCCTCACCTCACTGCTGTGGTCTCCAAAAATCTTCCTTTATCAAGCAAAACCCATGTGGTCAGGCTTTCTGCAGTCAGGGAGATGTGTGGAAGAATAATTTTCTCCTCACAAAGAGGAACTGCAAGTGCTGATATTTTCCAGCTTTTCACCATGACAAACCCACAGGGACCCAATGACAGCAAGCAGAGCTTGGTGCTCAAAGCCACAGCCAGGAAGGGCAAAAACCAACCACAGCCTCCAGCCTAACCCCACTTTCATTGAGGAGGTAAAATCTACTGAACACCCATGGAACAATTAACACACTAACGGCCTCATTTTCACTCAAAGTTAGATGTTCTTCAGCATCACAAAGCATTTAGTTGAAAAGCACAGAAAACAATACCAAAATAATGGCTTTTGCCCTTGTGTTCAATGTGTTCAAATTCAGCCATAAAGCTGCATTAAAACAGAAAAACTGTCCAGCTCAAATTAGACAGAGAAATCCATTTTATAACACAGCAATTATTTCCCACTCTGGAAGCAAGAGGCACTGACTCATGAGACAAACAGCACCCAACCGTGAGTGGTTCTCAACATCAACTGCAAGACACAGATTTACTTTTCTTTCTTTACTTTTCTTTCCTTTCTTTTACTTACATCCTAACAACTCAGACGAAAGACAAGAATGCCATACTGTACGTGTCTCAATGATCTGATCTGGCTTTAACATCTCTATGGGCACACAATCTTTTCAAAGTAGGAATTTGCTCTGGGCCTCTCTTCTGAGATCAAAACTACACCAGGAAAACATCTCCTTACAAATCCTGCTTGATCTCCTCAGCCTGCAAGGGGAACTCATGTATCAGAACGTCCTACGTGCAGACGCACTTCAAAATCCCTCCACAGAACAGCACTATAAAATCTTGTTGTCGCAAACTCCCACTCAAAACACTGACGCAAACAGCAGAAGGCAGCAAGAAGCCCAAAGAGTGACTGAGCAGCCAAGCGAGCTGCCTCAAAAACGGCCAGTTCTCTGAACAAGAAGCTAACACCAGGTCGATGGGGCCATTTGCTGCAGGGCCCATGCAGCACAAGGCAAGCTGGCTGCCGTCAGTTACTACCGCCACATAAATACCACACAGAAATACTACCTGAGCATCTGTTTGCAAACACAGCCACCGTTCCCATGAGCATGAGTCACTTCTGTCAGTGGCTCTGGGAGTTAATGCTCCGGGAAAAGGGCTCTGGGTTGAGCTCACACAAACTCCTGACCTCAATAGAAATTCACATGCGCAAGGTCAAAACCAAGCCCCAGGATTTTAACACAAACACTCCGCAAAAACTGACACCTTCAGGGAGCATAGGGAGAATAAAGGAAAGATTTCAGCAAGGATTGAAATATCAGAACCAGGCAGCATGAAACATATACCAAAAGAGCAGCTAAATCCCGATACTGCTTGTGCCACTGGAGGAAGGAAGGCAGAGTGCAGAGCACCCATGGAGGCTTCCCTGAGCCGTTCTTTTTAAGCAGGAGGAAAAAAAAAAGCTTTCTAGTAACATTAACCACACCCCACCTCCCACAATAGAGGTGGGAGACTCAGAGCACCTGACCTAAAAACAAATATTCTAGGGACAGTATGGTCTTGACCCCAGTTCCTCTAATCCACCATCCCTCCTCCGGTACCCTCTTGAGAAAAATGGTTCCTTCCTGCTTATGAGAAACAATTGCTTTTTTATATTCATCACAAAATAGGATTATTCGTTTTCCATTGTTGCTGGAGGCGTTCGGAGTCTACATAGCTTTTTCAATACAGCATTCCACACTACCATAGCTTTAAAAGAAAATATGTACCCATTGGAAAAGACACTTTTCTGCTTTCTGCTTTTGCCTTTTCTGGTAATTATGAATGACATGTTTGCAATTTCCCAGATTTAAGAAATATGAAATTATTTTGCAGTCATCCTTCTTTTGTCCTTTTATTTTAATACTTAAATTTCCATTTTGAGGAGGAGGGGCACTGCCGTAGCTTTGAATCAGTTCAATGTGTCCCAAATCACTGCACTAGAGCTTTGCTTCACTCATTTCCAAATCGAAACACTTCACTAAAGACCAGAAAATTTATATCCCCTTGCATTATGAATAATGGCGTGCTGTGTACACTATGCAGGTTTCAGTTCTGCAGAAAAATAAAGCTAGGATCTGGGATGGAAACATATAACAACGCAGTTTTCTACTTACTCTAGAATTCATAATGGAGTATTCCGCGGCTGCATATGTTTGGGTAGACTCCTGCATCCATATTTTGCTGCTTGGCGACCACCGAGTACAAGGACCAGCTCTCAATTGGAGAAGCAACATTCTACCCATTTGCATCTGCTTCCTTTTGTGAAGACTTTACAACAAACTCTGGACTCAGAGAATGCAAATCGCACCCAACGAAGGTCTCAAACGCACAGTCACTGGGAAACTAACAGGACTATCTGTGTGAAGACTTAAACACTGCCAATTGAGACTCCCTAACTGCAACTCTGGAAACAAGCGACGCACAATATCTTCTCTACAATCCTGAACAAAAGTGCCGCTAACTCAAAAGATACAAATACGCTCTTCCTTTAAGAAGAATATGGGTAACACAATTACAAACAGCACTGTATGCAGGGGAGACTCTTCATTCTCACTATCACACAAGTTCACTCAGTCTAGCCTGTCTCCCATGTTCCTGGGTACGTAACTTAAAAGTTTAAACTCCTAAACAATTTGACCACAGCTTCAAGACAATCTCCTTTGCAAGCAGAAATGGGGAAACAAGCATACTCAGAATACACGTTCACTAAATTCTTGGCTCAGAGTTCAACTATACTGGAAGATGCGTGCAGTATCTTTGCACCCTGTGCCAGGTATGTTTTCTCTCACTCCCGTCCGTGAAGGGGAAAGCATCCCGCTTGCTTAATAAACTGCACTACATTAAGGGCAATGGAATCCACATCCTGTCTCAAAACTTGCCTCTTAGATCTCAAAACTCTACCCCTTGGAATTCAATGCTCCTTTTCAAAGTAAGCCTACGTTTGAGATTTATTACTGGATTTTTCCAAAATTAAAGACTTTGCTCTGACTAAAAACAATTCTCATTTTTTAATTATTTCCTAAGGTGTCAAATGAAACTATTTTAGGGATTGCTGGAAAGATACTGGCTTACATCTGTCATGTTTCAACAGTTTTGAAGAGAAAAGGAAATATTAACATAACACATTTTGTCACATTAGATAATGTCATAACTAAACAATTTAGAACTTGCAAACAGAACACTCATACTGCATACGTCTTCGCCAGTTTTTCAGAAGTAATGAGCCTCAGCTGTGAAAGGGTCTCGCTTCATAAGGTATGCAATAAATCATTATCGGAGTGAACCCAGCTCCCATGTTGTTCGTTTTTGACTGCAATTATTAACACCTCATGGGATTTCACACAAATGTTTAGGTTAAGAAAATAGTTAAGTGTATTTTTATTCACATGAAGTTATTACACACTATTAATGTTTCTCCTAGCGACTTGTGAATTTAAACGTACTTTTTGATCAGAGCAGAAGTTGCAAGTACCACACTTGGTGGGAAAACATTAGAGCAATTCTGCCCCTTCGTATTAGGCAATTTAGCCTTGTAAAGTCTGACTTTGCAGAAGGAGTTTTATTTTTGAGGGGGGAGTAAAACAGCAGGCTCTAATAAGCAGTTAATTATCAGAGTGGAAAGTAAGCAGATTTCAGATCTGGACGGTAAAGTTCCAAAACAGCTTTGAAAAGTCATGCCTATTTCTGGCACCCTGAAGCTGTATGTCAGAGTCCTGCAGGGCTGAGCAATCATCTACATATCATACCGTAAAAGAGCAAGTACTCACATGCCCTTGATCATCAAGTTCATTATTGGTGAGCTTTAGTTTGTCAAAGCTGATCACTTGTCTCATCCACGTCTCCCCGGAGGCAGGTGAATCGGGGTGAATATAAACACGAGGCGGTACTGGGGAGTCAGCGTTGCCGGCCACCATCCACTTGGAGCTATGATAAACATACCTGCAAAAAGAGAGCAAACATCTCTCACCACAAAACCTGGACTTATTTATCAGACCCAGTCCAAATTAATCCATACAACTACAGCAAGAGCCCATCAATTAACTAGCATGAAAGCAAAATAAATGTGATTATTTTAGTTCCAAAAGACATGTCTGGTATGTGGAAGAGGAAGGTTAAAAAACTGCTCTCATTGAAAATGAGCCTTCCTAAAGCTCGTAATAGCCTTTACGCTAGCCTCTGTGCTGAGGTTTAAGCTGGTGTCAAGTCATAGACTATACAGTTCCACTCTGAAAAAGCATCAGCAAACAGGGCAGAATACGGTCCTTCATTTATCAAATCAAGTAGAAATTCCATATTTGGAAGATTTAACATGTTGAATCTAGTATAAGAGTCTATAAATAAAAAATATTGAAGGCAAAGAACATTATGATTAGGAAAAACAATGAAGCTATGTCAAACTATGCTCTAGATATTTCTGCAAGACCATCTTATTTTTCCTGAATACTATCACAGAAAGGCTTGAAAATGAAAAAACACATCTTGTATTTCATTTGATAGGCCAGTGCTGACAAAATCTCTTTCTCATACAAGCAGTGACTGCTTTGGTAGAAAACTTACTTTGAAGGCAGATACTTCATAAGGCAATTTTAAAAAGTGCTAAATAAAAATGCTGAGGTCTTTTTTTCCAACTAAAGTAAAATTCCTGTAAATCAGTCGTATTTTTTTAAAAAAATCATGAAAGAGTATCATATGTTTGTACAATTTGGTTCCAAAGTAGAAAAAGCTAAACAACAATCAGAAATTAAAATGATCTAATGCACACATCCGTTCATACAGCCCCTATCAAGCTGTAAAGTAAAATTCAGTACAGCGGTAAAATCCTCCCCCAAATCTTATCTGGAGACAAGTTCTCAATCCTAAACCATGCAGTCAACTGTTGTGACATTTTGCCATTTATTTGTTTTGTTTATAAAACTTGTTGTTTTATAATATATATATATATTTTCCTACAAAAGTAAATAATATTCTGAATATTTTATGTTTATGACAACAGTTCAAGCTTCCTAATATTTACAATGAAGTCCAATTTTGCTAGGAATCTAGACCTAGGTTCAATTTTCTTCATTCCTGTGTAGTTTTGCTATCTGCTATGACAGCTTAAGTCTAGGCTCATTGTAAGGCTGCTGTTGCATCTGCAAGACAATCAGCTTTCAAAGCCATATGAGCAGCACAAGTTAAATAACTTAAAAATGAATGCATAGACTGCATACCAAACAATGAAAATGGGAATCAACAGTAACACCCAGTAGGAAAATTAAAGACATGGTACTCAAATATGATTGCAGAAATTTAAGTTTGCCAACTACAACAATACTGCCCAGCAGACAACATTAAGTTACTTCTCTTATCTGGGGACCACATACCTCACTGCGCAGACAGCTCAGACCAGCATGGAAGTATTTATTTTAAACACAGTTCACTTTAAACAACTCATATGCTGCGTAACTTTTTTTAATATGAACGTTTTTGTTCAATTTGAACTATTTACATTCTCTTCCTCTGAGTTAAGAAGGTGATCAGACCTTTTAGGAAGGAGATCCTTAGATCACTAAGTAAATGCAACACTAAGTTTTATTTCAGCTGCACCGCTCTGTTCGAAGGGAAGGAAAAAAATAAAAAAGCCATTTCTCCCCTATGATACAGCCAGAAAAGTGTTGTGCACTGGACATGCTCAGCATTTCTACCTGCACCTTGCTGAAAAACAAAATCAAAAGCAGTAGTAAGAAACTGCTTACATACCGCATGATAAAAGGGCAAAATTAAAGTCAGTGAGGTAAGGACATGCAAAAAACACAGGGTGCTGTTTGTTAAGGAAACAAGGAGGCGTTCCTGACGAACCAACCTTTTAGTCCCAGTCTGAAATATTCTGACTTCTACAATTAAATCGGCAGCGGTTTCCCATAAATTACACTAAGTACGGGGTTGAAACAATCAAAACAGCATTGGTAGGGGCCCACTCCTGCCTCCACTGAACCACTTGGCTGCACGGAGAGTGGGAACACGTTTGTGAAGCACAGCACACAAACATCCCCAAGTCACAGTGACTGCTGCGGGCCCAATCCTGCTACCACTGCTACAGGAGGAGGGCTTCAACACAGCCCAACATGCACTCTGGAACTACAGCTGTCTTCACAGCAGTCAGAGCTTTAGCTTATCGTTCCCACTCTCAAATGCTGGAAGAACAACTACTTTTGTTCATCATATTATATTTCAGATGCCATCAATTTGTTTTTTTTTAATAGTAATTAGAAGCACTACCCTTTGTGAATCTAAGCAGATATCTCAGTGATAAACTGCTACTGGAGTAAAAGAAAGAATCACTTCAAAGCACAACCAAGAAAGCTCATGCGCATTACATTCTATGGCCATTCAGTCAGAGGTTGATGCAAGAATGTTTTCTTGTTGTTACCATTTAATGCTAGAAAATGGAGCATTTTCCTATCTATGTGTTAACAGGAAATAATTCCTAGTGACATGATAAGGAAAAACTCAGGAGAACAGGATAACTGTACCACAAGCATGGTCTGCAAAAGCAAAGGATGGAGTGCTTGCCCACAGCACATATACATGCATGAGCCAAAGGTACACATTGCTCCAGCAACACTCCAGTTAGTTCTGCACGCTTGGCACATTGCTTTTTGTTTTTTTTTTTTTTTAACATCCCAGTTTGACAACAGGAATCTGAAGGAGAGATGAACTCCACCTTCTGCTGATTTATATGCTGTTAATATTGCCTTGCAATAGCTAGGATTCCCAAGGCACACATCATAGGTCTTCTACCTGAAAGCCACCGTACCTGTATCTTTTGTTATCCACTGGCACAATATCCATGGCGATATAATACTGCTGATGGGGGTCTAAACCTGAGATCTTCACTCTCATTGCGGGAAACATCCGCCTGAACATGGAAAGAGAAAGGTCACTTTTAATGCGAAACAGAGTGGGGAAGGGCTGTTTAGGACAAGGAACTGCTTCGTGGGATTTTCCCCGTTCTTCCCTTTAGCCCACTGAGTCCTTTCTGCCGATTCCAGTTACACAGCCATGAAACGGCCCATTCGATATGTCAAAACAGATTTCAGAAGTGCATTCACTTGAACAATGCTCCGTATGTTTTGGGATACGCTTTGGGAGTACAACTATTACCACATCATTTCAGCTTTATTGTTAGACAGTAAATCATTTTGTTTTGAGGCTGAACTTCAGCATTGCACACACTCGAAACCCGTTAGCTAGAAATGTATTTCTGGAGCACCACTGCTCACAGCAGTGCAAACCTCCAGTTGTGCCAACTGACAGCAGCAAACGGCGCACTGGACCTCAGCACATTGCAAAGCAGGGTCTGCGGTGACACAGCCCAAATGCTGTGAGGATGCAGTTATAAGCCCAATGTGCTATGCCATAACTGAACAATATGGTCTTTATTGAGACGGACTTCCTGTCTGCAGCCTGCTAAGGTAAAGCGCAACGGCTGCTCTGCCTTTGAGAGGTACAGTAAAACTTCTTTATTGGAAGCAGAAACGGGCGTACGGGCAACTCTGAAAAAAATACGTTTGCAATCCACATCCTTCTGGAGAGAAAATGGAGTAATCACCTGGTGTTGTCGTTTCAGTATAAAAACGCATTTCTTATTTCAGCCTGTGCTTGGCACGGCTTTTATCAAGAAAGTTCATTCTTGATGCTAACAAAGAAAACATTGCAACGCTGTGCTGACTGCAAGCAAACAGGAATGACTTGTATCAGCCCTATCAGCCCGAAAGCCCTTCTGATTTATTATTTGCAACTCTTTAAGAAAACAAAAAACAAAACAAAAAACAAACAAAAAACAAACAAACAAAAAAAAAACACCTCAATTAAAAGTCGTTACTGGAAAGGAAAGCCCCATGTCTTTTATTTCTGAAAACCTCGAGGGTAACTGTCCACCGTCGGGCAGCGCGCTGCCGCTGCGATGCACCTGTAAGGTACAAAAGAGCCCCCTGCCCGGGCTCCGTAAGACAAATGTTGCTTTGTGCTGCTTGAGACTGCTTTTCCATCATTAATAAAGCCCCTCTGAACACTCAGAAGGTAGCATATGGATCCAATAAAATATGTTTTTGTAATTTCTAATAAGTTCAGATCCGCTTATACTATCCAGGTTTTGGCCATCTGTACGCACTGGGAAGGGGAAAAGTTTCTCCTCCGAAGGGCACAGCGCGCAGACCTCACCCCAACGAGCGGGGAAGCCCCAACGCCTAGAGCTGGGGCCGTTTCCCTGCGCCGTACATCCACTTCCTCGGCGCAATCCCGCCCGCGGAGATGCCCCGGCTCGGCTTGGGCTACTCGGCTGCCCGGGTGCCGTTACCTGCCCGCCTTGGTGATGATCATCTCGGTGCCAATCTCGTGGAAGCGCTTCCAGAGCTCGGCGCCCTGCAGCTCAACGCGCGGCGCCTGGGGCGCGGGCAGAGGCGAGGCGGGCCCGGAGCCCTTCGGGGAGCCGCCGCCGCCGCCGGGCGAGGCGGGCGGAGACGCCGCCGCAAAACCCTCATCGGCGCCTGCGGAGAGAGCGGAGAGGAGAGGAAGCCGAAGGGCCGGGGCCCCGCCGGACGCTCCGTCGCGCGAGTTTCGTTCGGGCGCGTTTCGCTCAGCCCTCCACGCGCGTACGTACACGTTATACAGAGAGATACCGATAGCCGGGCGCATCCCGCACGCAGACATTACGAACTACTCGCCCTCCCCGCCGCCCCCCGCCCCGTCCCCGGGCCGGAGCGGCACTCACCGGCGGGCCCGCGGGCGCAGCCCGGCTCCATGTCGCCGCCGTTCCTGCCGCTGGTGGCCGCCGGGCTCCCGGCGCAGCAGCCGCTGCCCCCTTCGTCGTCCGCCGCCTCGTCCTCGCCGCCCACCTTCCGCCGCTTGGGCTGCCGCGGGGGCGGCGCGGGCGGCTGCTGCTTCTCGGCCCCGATGAGCGCCTCCACCGAAAAGGCGTGAGCCTTCAGGCTCATGGTGGTGCCGGGCGAGGCCCGCCGCTTGTCGGCCATGCCCCCCCTGCAGCCAGCGCCGCCCGCCCGTCCTCCCGACCGCGCCGGCTGGGGCCGGGGCTTTTCCTCGCCTTTCTTTTTAAATCCGAGTTATCAGCCAAGTTTTTTTTTTTCTTTTTTTTTTTTTTTTTTTCAAGGGGAGAAAAAAAAAACAACAACTCTATTCCTTTTTGCAGATGCTCCCTTTTTCTCCCCCTCCTCCTCCTTCTCCTCCTCCTCCTCGCTCTGCCCCGTCTGATGGGCCCAACAGGACTGACATGGGTAACAAACGCTCTGCGGACACAAATTAGGGCTTGTAATTGAAATTTGTTGCCTTGATCTGTCAGCACTTCCAGGCAGGAGAGCGCGGGGACGGACCGCTCATTAGTGCCGCGGGGCGGAGGGGCCGGGCGGGGCCGCGGGGCGGGGGCTGAGCCCGCACGGACGCCCGCTGCCCAATCAGCGCCGCAACACCGCCCCGGCCCGGCCCGGCCCGAGCGGGGCCCCGCGGCGCCGAGCAGAGGGGGGGGGCCCGGCCGGCATCGCCGCACCCTGCGGTGGGGGTTAACGGGAGCGACCCCCGCAACGGGAAGGGCGGGGGGGAGGATGGGGGGTCTGCAGCGGGACTTCGTTCCGTTCGGGCCCGGTTCGGGATGGGGGGGGGGGGTCGGAGCGCCGGTCGGCTGTCGGGGATTCGTCGCGGTGCTGCGAAAGGGGTTTGAGCGCAGCCGCTCCGACGCCGATCGTTGGACGTAACCACCGGCCACATTCAGGTGCACGACGTATGCACGGGGAAAGCCATTCCGAAATCCTTCCCGTGAGCAACACGATGGAAAGCTGCAGATTTGGGGCAGTCACTCTTTGCCGTGCGTTCCCAGGGAAAAGCTATTGGGATGTTTTGTTTTGTTTCCCTTCATTCCTCTTTGAATGTTTGCATTTGGGGGGTTTGTTCGTTTGTTTCCGGGCTGCGGAACGGGATCCGGTGATGGCACCCCGGGGAGAAGGAGCCGCCGTAGGGGAGACGTGAAATGCACTGTACGGTTTCACCTATCCCCAGCGTGCGATGTGTGCCCTATTTCAATACCGGATGGGCTGCTTCGTCGGGGAAGGGCTGAGTGCTAAACGCACTCAGAGATGAGTTACCCCACGGAGTGTTACCGGCGATTAATTTGTTTACATCTCTTTCGAAGCGCGAGGGAGTGTCAGGTCGATAATCGATTAAAGAAAAAAAAAACAAAAACAAAACTCGCCACCACGGTGAAAGGGTTGTGCATTACACCCCGATAAAATCCCACTGCGGATCGGTGGGGCTGCGGGGAGCTCCCGGTGCCGCGGGATTCTCTCTCTGCGTTCTCCGTCCGGGACGCATTCGCCACACCGCGGGCTGAAGCCCGTCTGAGCTGCCCGGCCCTGCCGCAACCGAATCCGAAGGAAATCACATGTGCTAGAGGGGTCGGAGCGTGTTAAGCTCGAGCATCCCGCAGGAGCTGAACCGCCCTCGCGCTGGGGCTGAGATCGATAGTGGGAGGTAGGAAGGAAATGGCTCCGGGCTGCCCCAGGGCGCTCCGCGAGCCGCCCGCCCGTCGAGCTCCGACGGCGCCTTCCGCGGCTCCGCTCCTCCGCTGCTGCAGCACCGGCGGGGCCGGCGGAGCAGGTAGGGGCCCGGCGCGGAGGAACGGAGGGGAGGTGGGGAGGGCCAGGACCCCTCCGAGAGCTGCGGGGACAGCGGGGACGGCGGGGTGGCCGCGGGGGGAGCCGGGCCCTGCGGGTTGCATCACACAGAATGGCCGCATCACCTTATTTCGCGTCGGTGGTGGTGACGCCGGGAGGTTGGGCGCTGGCTGCTGTTGGGATATCTTTTTCTAGACCGATTTCTGTAGATTCAATGTGGTGTTGTTTTTATTTCTTGACTTTTTTGTTTGTTTGTTTGTTTTTGTTGTTGAGGTTTTTTTTAGTGTTTGGATTTTGTTATTGTTGTTGTTCTTCTTCTTTAAACAAACCCAAAGGGGATAAAATTAAATGTACCAAACAACGTGCGGTCCATATGTCTGTGAGATTTTTTTTTTTTTCTTATGGGATGCTGAAAGAGAGAAGAATATTTCTATCTAGCGATCTGCTGATGGAATAATGCATATATTCAAAGCACCTTTCCGGGTTTTACTTTTCTTCCCGGACGGTGACATGCGGTGCGGCTCTGCGGACACTCGGGTGAGGCGCTGCGCCTTTGATACAGGAAAGCCGCACATTGCGGCTTTCGAAAATAAAAAGATGTTGAAGCCGTTTTTCGCCAGAAGGATACTTATTTTCCTCTTCTGCGTTCGAGAATGTCGGATGCTGTTTAGGAGATCCTTACGGCTGTGCATCGTCGTTCGCGATTTCTGCAAATGTTTCCGAGCGTTACTCGGAGAGGGAGAGAATGTTCGCGGAGCGCTTCGCTCTTTAAAGCCCCGTGTGCTGTAACTTCCCAGCAGGGGAGCGGAGGAGCGGTCACTGAGGAAAACATATTTATATCATTATCAATTTTTTCCCCAGTGAGCCCAATGGTTTCTCACTGACAACGGGCAGCTGACGGGGCCGCTCAGCCAAACACAGTGAGAAAGTACAGCGAGTACAGTGAGAAGGTAGTGGGAGATTCGCGTGCAAATCACGTTTTTGTGCGCCCCGAGCGCACCTCCTCCCTTTTCTCACCCACAGCCGATGAGAGGAAGGAATGGGGCTGAATTAGCACCTTAGATTTCCCATTGCCGGGATGAGCAGAGAACCTGGAGTGGCTCTCAAGGAGCTACAGTTCTCTGTCCCAACAGACCTGAGATAAAGTTAAGAGTGGCTCTGACTGAACGGAAGCCACTCCGCGGCGCCGGACGTGGCGGGGTACCACAGTCCCCAGCCTCCTCCCAGAGGGTCTAAAATCCGGCTGCAGCGGCCGCGGGGCTCTACGTTACTACGAACGTTCATTACCTTCCGCGGGCGCGCACCGCGCGGCGCTTCACCCAGCGCTGCAGCGGCTTCGGGCCCGCGCAGCCCCCGCTGCTCGTCCCGGGGCCCAGCCCTCTCCGGCCGCTTTCTGCACCTGGGGGGCATCCCAAAATCCGCGGCCCGACCTCACACTCCTAAAGCCGCTGCTCCCCGTCCCGGAGCCTAGGATTGGGAACCGGGCGGAGGGGGCGCGGGGGTCCGAGGGAAACCTCATCGCTCTCACCGCTCATGACGCCCAAAGTCGCCTGCGGTGACCCCAGGGTTATCCTGGGGATGCGGGGAGCAATTGTGCGGGCACCCCTTGTCACCCCCAAACCAAGCCCAAAGTGCCGGGAGTGCTGCCACCGCGGCGTGACGGTGGCCGTCACACAGACTCCGTGAGCGAGGTTAGAGGAGGGCATCTCGCTGCTGCTGGAACACGTTGTCCCGACTTCGGCGGGGGAGGCCGGGTGCGGACCGGGCGAACGGGTCGCGGCCGGCCCGCCCTGCCCCCGACGTCGCTCCCCGTTCGGCAGCAGCTGCGAGTCGCGCCCGGCGCGAGGGCGGGCGGCCTTTCTCTGCCCTCTCCGCCGAACCCCTTGGCCGCCCGCCTCTACCGGCCGCTGCCCCGCAGCCTCAGGTCTCGTTTTAAAACTGCGGAAAGAAACATTCGCTCTCCTGCTGCTGAAGGGTAAATAAAATCAGCGTACGGAAATAAACGTGCAGCCGACCGATCGGCTTTCCAGACGGGTGAAAATGCTGAGGAATTGCATGAAGGAATTGAAAACACAGTTCAAACGCACCCGTGTTAAAATTACAGATACTCTGGTGCTCGTGCTCCATAGCGCTTAAGTTACTACCTTAATTCGGAATTATGGAGCCACTAACATGAATCATTTTGAAGAAAATCTCCAGCCCTTAATATGACTCTCCCACTTACATTCATTGCTCGTTTCAGACAAACGATTTTTTAAAAGAGCCTTTTCATGGCCGCAGTCTCAAAATAAAACTTTGCAAACGCTAAATGAGGGCTGAAGAAACCTCTGGCTTTACTTCTTTATTGCTTTCCTATAAATTTAACTCGTATTTTCACTATTGTCTCAGGAAAAATATGAAAACGTGTATGGAATTAAATTAAATTAGGTAGCTTTAAATCACCGTAGCTTAGAGTAGAGCCACTAATTGGAAATATTTATGTTTGCAAGGCTGGGATTTCAGCAATAAAAAGATACAGCGTATCCCCGTTTTGTCATAACGCGGGGCTACGGGAACGTTTATATCGAACCATTGTAAGAAACGGTGTGTAGTTAAACAGCGTTTGTTAAGCGAGGCTTGTGTCTTTTTATGGCAGCCCTCGGTCTTTAGTCGGGGCCGGTTCTCATATTACACGAAATGTACTTTCAGAAGTCCTACCTGCTCCAGCTGTCCAGGAAAAACTGAATTATGGCACTAGGAAACATATGGCAGTTGCATATTGCGCGAGTAAGGTACATATGAAAGTTATAAATTTCTTTTTTAAGTAACCATTGTAAACGCATTTTTATAGGTTTCACAGTATGTATTACATCTGTAATTTTAATTTTTGCAATATACCTTTGTAAAGATACCTAGGGTTTCTGTACCCCGGGGAAGGAAACGCAAAGAGACGTTTATGCGTCAAAAAACTTGCTGCGAGCCAAACAAACAAGCGAGGTAAATAAGAGGGGAGCGGGAGCTTCCGAGCAAGGGAAAGGCCACTGTGCCATCTATTGGCAACGCCGATAGTTACAGAGCCCGCCGTATCCGAGCGAGGGGGTTCCCTTCTCTGCGTACTGTGCGGCGAAGCGTCGCGATCAGAGTTTTGGTACATTGTGAGTAAATGAATAGAGACGTAGGAAAAAAAAAAAAAAAAAAAAAAGAAACAGAGAGGAGGAAAAAAAACAACGGAAAGAAAAAAAAGGAACCACAGTGCATGTATTCCTCACTGATCAGCTCATTAGCTCACAGAGGGATTTTTGTAGCTAATTGCCAACTTCTTAGAGCGTTCGGATGGGAGAAGTTTCGAGTGTTTTTTGTTTTTTGGTTTT